CACGTGTCACCGGTTGAGAAGAGCCGGCTGGTGTCCTCAAAAAGCCAGAAGACGTGCCACCCGATCGCGTCGGGACTGCCGGTTCCATCCAAGGAGTGTCTATGCAACTCAGCTTCTGAGCTTCCCGCAACTTTGCTTTACCTTCTGCATAAATAGACGTTAAAGTTAGTGTATTTTTCAAACGCATATACACTAAAGAAATATTTTCGAAACGGAAAAGTTTATGTTTACCTCCACAAAAGGCTCGAGAATGCCTGGTCCCAGCCCTCTAGACTCGTGAAGCCGAAACGCTGCTTCATTGAACATCCTTGTCAATTGTATCGTCTGGGTACAGAAACGCGGTTGGACAGTTTTAGTACACATACTTAATACCAAATGGATAATAAATTGTACCATTCGAGTATCTTACCACGAATCTTTGAAGCGGGGCTCTCTGTAGTTGTGTGTCGTCCCTAGTGGCAACGTCGTACACATCTTCGATCACATCTTCCTCGTCGTCCTCGTCAATCGCCTCCTCAGTGTATGGGGACTTGATATGTGTCCCCGTAGACCTGTGAAGCCACCGCAGATACTCATCGAAGGTGTGCTGGTCGTGTGGGGACCCGCATCGACCGGCTGTCGATCCTTGTTCTGCCACAACTAGATATACGCGTTGTGTGTCACGCGTCAATCCTTGGTCTTGTACCTCTTCCTGCGGTCATACCTGCAACAAAACGATTGTTAGTTGTACCATATACACTTCTGAATTGTAGCTTTGTTATTAATCGATAACGCACCCGTGCAATTCTTGGTTGGTGAAGTAAAGCGGTGGTGGGTAGCCTGTCATTCTTTCAAACTGCCTGCAAGCCCTGATGGGCAAGTGAATCTCGATCACGTGGAAGAAAATAAGATGGACGTTGCAGCGATACTCGTCTGACACATCCCTAGTAACAGGACTCAGATAGTACTCGAGCTCCGCAGCATCCTAAGGATACCAATGCACCTGAACATTTCATAATTGAGTTAGGTTGTGATATAGTGTACATCGAACAAGATACATGTATGATAGTAAAGAGAGTGTAACCTGGTGCTGTGTCAGGACGTCGAGACCGTCCGTGTACTTCTTGTACTTGCGTCTCGTATTTCCTCTAACTAACTCTGCTTGCGTCCAGATATACAGAGTTGTAGGGAGTGTATCCTGCCCGTTCCAATGCTGCATTGAACACGATAATCAATTAGCCATTAATAATTTAATCATATGTAACTGCCTCGAAGAATATAGTGAGAAGTACTTACCGGTAAACCAGTAGCAAGGGGCCTTCCCAACGGGCCATCGTTCCCAACACCAAACCTGGAGTGGTAGGAGCAACCCCCAAGGTTCGCATACCCTGAGGTGCGACGACGGATAACGCATAGCTGTCGATACGTCCATGCTAGGACTGCGCTGCCCTAGCTATACGCCGCTATGTTATCCCACGGCTGACGTAGTATGTCAAGGAAAATCCAGCTGATGGTGTTGCCCGATGAGTCTAGGAAGAGGAAAGCACCAAGGAAGTGTCAGAGCCACAGTCTAGCGAATCTGTCGATTTAAGCCTCATCAGCATGTGGGTCAAAGTAATCAAAGTGCTCTGTGATCCACGACGACGAAACACCGGAACTTTTTCTGAAATTCACCAAAGAAAATGAGACCCGATGGCTGCAAGAAAGCAATGCAAATATTAAATAGGCTTGAATTGCTCACTTATTTTTCTTGGAAACCTCGTCGTCTGGTGGAAGAAAGCCAGTGAACTGAGCCACCAGCTCCCTCAAGTGATCGTTGTCAACTATACCTGTCACTGGAAGTCCCCCCAACCGAAGGCCAAAGATAGCCTTCACGTCCTGCATGGTCAAGGTCATCTCGCCGCAAGGTAGGTGGAACGTGTGGGTCTTAGGCCTCCACCTGTTATAAGAATAGAACGACTGTTAGATGCCTCAAATTTGTTATAAGAATGTTTACGTACAATGAAGGCACTCGCACCTGTCTACAGCTGTAGTAAGTAGTGCTAGGTCAAGGGGCAGAAGATCGTGGTTGACAACACGGACAAGCTCGAGAAAGCCGGCACACCGTATGTACGGCGCGTAACGCTCGTCCCACTGGTTACAAATTGATAAACAAAGGGTTAGAGTATTCAAATTAACAATATTCAAATTAACATTATGTAGCATTGCAAAATTTGAACTACTTGTTATGCAATAGGAACACAATATGAAAGCACATGTATATATTTAAAGTAACATTAACAGACATATTAAACAACTTTACTAGAAAAATAAGCAACTTCTATGTATTCAAACGGATACAAACGTCATTGAAGCCAGGAGGTTCATCAAACCATTCCAAATTACCGTATCACGCACTGCTAAGTACCGACACTTGAAAACTAGTATCTATACTGACAACCTTTACTACTATAAACTAACTAAATAATAAATACCTAATCAATCCCTAAACCCAAAGACCTAACTAACATTAACCTAAACCCTAACTACCTAACTAAACCTTAACTATACTACAACACACAACCTAAACCCTAAAAACTACCTACCTAAATAAACAAATTCACTAACATAACTATACTAAATCACTGACCCTAACTAAAATAACATTCATAATAACAAGAAATCGAGAGAGGGAGCTACCTTGATATGAGCCGAAGGAGAGGAGGCGGCGCTGGCAGGGGCTGGGCGAGCGGGGACACAGGCAGGGGCTGGGCGGGCTGGGGCGTAGGCGAGGCGAGGCGGCGCTGGGCGGGTGGGGCGCAAGCTGCAGCGGCGTTCGAGGGAGAGGGCGGGCGCAGTGGGGGCGTCGCGGGCTTTAATTGGGGCTTGCCGCACCACCAGCGATGGTGCGTCACAGCCGGGCCAAGATGGGTGACGTGACAGACCCTGCCACGACGATGCCACGTCATCCTCCAGCCGCGCCACCATGCATGGTGCGGCATAGGCGTTTCGCCGCGCCATGGCAATAGACGCGGCCAAAAGTGTTAGTTTTGAAAGAAAAAAAAAACAATGTTAGATTTAAAATTAGTTTACAAAAGGTGTTAAAATAAAAAAATCGGGGGGGGTGCCTCTGGGCACGGTCGAATGGAGAAGGAGTGGTGGGTGAGAGACGGGGATCCAGGAGGTGACTCCATCGCGCGCGCGTGGGCTTCAGCCGGCCTGGCCCAAAAGAAACGAACCTTCATTTCGTTTCCGGGGAGCCACGAGAGAGTGTGTTTTAGCCCGTGGGAGTCGGGCTCGCGAGTGGCCAAGAAAACCAAACATGAGAGTTGCAGCCCGAGAGCGCAGCCGGGCCATCAGGCCACGTTTCCAAACACGCCCCATATTATCGAAGTCAGGGCAAGCGGGTTATTGCCGTGATCTACCTTATTGAAGACATCGGACGGCCAAATTTTGGCGATCAACGCTTGGCTAGAAAATAAACTATGCATGAGCAAGCAGGCCAAATAACACCAAACTTTTTTTAATAGAACACTTAAAAGAGTGCCTTACATATGATATTTATAATATAGGGATAAAATATTAACCAGTACAAAAGAACGATAACTTAACATAAAATGGTCTAAGATATATAAGAGTGCATCAAAATCAATGGTCGTCTTATTCCTTCTATCTAGAGCTAGGGAAATGGACACCTAACAATACCCATGTTGTAAAGTTTTATAGATTGCAAAGCTATTGGCTTCGGTAGCGAGGTCTAATACCCACTGAAAAATAAGACCGAGGGATTTCAAACCTTATGTAGATAGATCTGAAGAGAAATCGATGGAGGGGATCAATGTTATCAATGCAAAAGAGACGTAGGCTCATAATTCTTCATCATGAAATTAAATTGTTGGAGAATTCAGACTTTTCGTGGAACAGGTCAAAAGAAGGAACTGAAATCATAGCATCAAAAAGCAAACTGACCGCTTCTCCTTGTAAACACACCAAACAACGACTCAGGAGAATCAACATATGTGAAAAGTCTCCTAAAAAAACATATGTGACAAGCATACTCTTATTGCCGCCAAATTGGATATTATGAGATAAAGAGAGCGAGAGATATCACCGAAAGGCACACATGACAAAGCGTACTCTCATCGAAAGCGAGAGAGGTCACTGCTCCTATTGACGTGGTGAGATTACCGATAGGCAGAGATGATGAGCGCACCATACTAGGCAATGGCTTCGCCTTGAACTCTAATTAGACGTCAAATCTTTTTTTTTTTGCGATGATTTAGACGTCAAATCTTGGCCCAATATCCAAACGCCAACCTTGTCCACGGTCAATGGCCAAATTTTGGTCGGCTACGGTCTGACCGAGCTAGTAGCCAATCTAAATGACCTAATATGGTGGAATTTATCCAAAAAAAAAAGATCTATGAGCCTGTTCGTTTCGGCTGGATTGGCTTATAAGCTATCGTTTGAAAGTACTGCTGCCTGTTTTGATATGAGAGAAAAACATTGTTAGCTAGCTGATAAGCCAAGCAAAGATACTGGCAGTTACATGCTGCGGATCAGGCTGTCGAAGGGATCCGAGCTGTGTGCTCGTGCTCACCAAATAAAACATGAGAATAATGTATCAAGTAATAACCAGTGGTTATTAACCACGGTTAACAGGCCCAAGTCGCCATCAACCGCCCTTGAGGCTTCGACCAACCACCAACCAGTGCGGCGACGCGTCCGCCGGCTCCAATCCAACCCTTCAGCTCCCTCGGCAGTCGCAGCACAAATTCGCGTCTGCATCGTCGTGCCCGTGCCGGCCCCGCTCCGCCCCCTCTCTCCTCCTTTGGCTTTTGCTACCGCACCGGCTGCGCCCTTGCTCGTCGTTGAAATATCCACAGGAAAAAAAAAACATTCTCCTCCGCCTGGGCTCCAGGCTGCAAACCCCCCCTGCGAAGTCTCCCACCACCGCGCGCCGATCCGGACCGGAGGCCTCCTGCTCTCTAACCCACCTCGCGGCCTCGCCCCGTTGATCTGCGCGGCGGCCGGCGGGCGCGATGGCGGAGCCGGAGCGGGAGCAGCGCCCGCTGCTGGAGGTTCGTGCCTTTCTTTTCATCCAAGCGTGCGTCTCCCTCACTCGCTGGGCCTCCCGTACCTGCGCCCTGCACGGACCATTTCGAATTCGGGAGGAGGAGACGAGCGCCGATTGGGTCAACGGATAGGAGGCCCGTACTTCCGGTGCTCTTGATAGATCTGACAGTCTAAGGATAGCAGTGCCGTCTAGTGTGTCTGTTCAGTTCCCTGATGCGGTTACCCTTGTTTTCTTGCTTCATGTGTCCCTAGCGTTGGAATATGGAACTAACCAGATAGTGCGGGTTGATTGGCCTGGATGCTTGCCCATAGCAGAAGCAGTCTGTGACAACTTTACTGTACTGATTAGGACGGATTTTGCACCAGGGATTAACCACAAGGTCCTTTTATGGACACCTTAACCACAAGGTCCTTTTATGGACACCTTACTCCAATTAAGACTTTAGGCTTAGTCCTAGACTTAATGGATACGTATATGTATGGCAAGAGATAATTGATCAGTTACTTGTGAATTGCAACGGTAGCAGAATTGGAGAAAAAAAATGCATATATGCTGTTTGTCATAAGCGAAACTTGCAAATATTATGTTAGATTTAGTATTGAGTGAAGTAACTGTAGATATGGGTTGGAAGTTATACTCAGGATTACTTTGGCATCGAGTCCTGGTGGGAAGGATGGTTGACAAACACCGTCCATGTATAAATCCGATGCTTTTGCTCAGCTGCAAGTATGGTATTCCTTATTCGTGCATAACTGTAGTATCTCCTGCAGCATTGTGTTAATTGCCACCCTCCTTTTGTTCAGGTAGAGCATTCTGTCACATCCATACCGGAAGATCATGAAGCCACATGTTGGGGCTGTGGGCTCCAGCTTGTTTTCTGAGTTACTCACCTATCTATAAGTGTGGCTGGTGTGGAGCCATTACATAAAGCAACCAGACCACAAGGAAACCTGATAGTATATGGTTTTTTCCCACTGGAGGCGCCTACGGGACAGATTCTTTGTGACTGTGCTCATCCTCTTCATGCTCTTTGTTATATGTATGTGTTCCCCATCTCTTGCCTTCAGCATAATTTATAACCTGCCACAGTTATTCGTTTATTTCATGTAGTTCTGCTATTTAACAATTTTATTTCTTGGTCAGTTGTTTATTTAGCCTGTTATTTTGTTTAACACAGGTGGTGGGGTCTGGGCGGTATATCCTACTGTTTTCAAAATCAGCAACTTCTGTGGCATCTTTCACTGCATGGTAACAGCTGTGTTGGCGTTATTTACCATCACAAGCTATTGCTTGGCCTCTTTTAAATCTGCAGGCGCACCAACAAACATTCGGTGGGGTAGCTATCCCATGGTTGGGAAAAGGGATCTTGAGAACTATACTTTTTGTACATACTGTAATAAACCAAAGCCCCCCAGAGCACATCACTGCCGATCTTGTAAAATGTGTGTGGTGGACATGGATCATCATTGCCCATTGGTAAGTATGATAACTGCATCCTGCTGCATTATTTTTTGTGTCGATTGTCAGTTGACTTGTTTATTCATTCCCCCCTTCTGTTCAAGTGCAGATCGGCAACTGTGTGGGAGCATCAAACCATCAAGTGTTTGTCATTTTTCTTATATCTGTGGTTATTAGTTGTTCTTATGCTGCTGGGATGACCATATATGCGAGTTATCAGATATGGCCGTCTGTTGATTTTCCAAACCTAGCATCAAACCGTCATTCAATGAGTTTTTGGAAAATATTGTTGGAGATTTTTGCTACAGTTGCAGGCTCTGCCTTCTTCTTGTCAGCAAGGGGTCTAGTTCTGGTATATCTAGCATTCGCTAGTTTATCAGTCAATGCTGGTATAGGTGTATTACTGTGCCAGCAGCTTAGTTATATCTATGAAGGAAACACATATCTCAACCATCTAAGTTCACCAAATCCCTTGCATGGAGAGAGGGGTTTGCAGAACATTGTTAGATTTTTTGGGTGCCCTTATCCAATTTCCAGAGTTCTCTTGCGATACTCGAACACTGGCAAGTTGCAGGATAATTCAGGGTCAAAACTTCTTTAGAGGTAATGAGGTATAGATCAGTAGAGTTAAGTCCTTGATTTTTCATGTTCCTTCTTAGTCATGACCTAACAAATAGTTTCATTTACATGTAGGTTTCAGTGATACACTCTTACTGTCCCAGCAATTGAGAAATGTATGGAATTAATTGTTCCAATTCAAGATGGTTCTGTTACCAGAATCATGATTTGTGAACCTCAGTTGACCATCGACAGATTAGTTTGAATAACTGAAGTTGTTCAGGGACGCAACACATGATAATCCATGTTCTGGAGGAAGCATTATTACTTGATCATGAGGATGTCACTCACATTGATTAGGTAGAACAATTTTGGCAGATGCTGAAATACCATGTGGCCTGCGCATTCATTGCCTGCAGACAATCATAAGGCGCTGATGGTCTTGCAATAAATTGCAGTATCTAAAATCCTGCATCATCATCACTAGCATGTTCGCTTGATCGTTTTTGCGGCTTATAAGCCGGCTGATGCTGTTTTATTGTGAGAGAAAAACACTGTATCATGGCTGATACGATCAAGCGAACAGAGTTTTCACGCTTGGTTGCTGCAGAAGAAATGGTCATCATGATTAAATCTGACAGTGGTTTTGAGTGATGCTAGGATGTTGAAAAAAAATATGTAAACTACAGTACCTCTTTGATGTTAATACACTGACATGTATATAGGAAAACATTGTAACATTCACTTGGTGTAAATTAGTTGATTAACCATGTACATGTCTGTGGCATTCATTGTTTTCTTCAACGGTTCAACCTTTTTGTCCTGATGTTGTAAAAAAAAAAACCTTTTTGTCCTGATGACTGATGGTATACAAATCCAACCGGGATTTGGGCCTGCTCGCCCAACAGAAAGTGGCTCACGTATTCAGTTAGACTTTGCAACCATTTGACTGCATTTTTATTCGTTCTTTGTGTGGTTTGCATGAAATCAGCAGCTTGGAATTTCTGAGCATGAATGCACCAGTTCGTTGAATGTTTCTTCTGACTAGCGACTGACCCAACTGCATTCGTGTCATCAGTTCACTTTATTGGCCCTGTTCGCTGGAACTTCAACAGTATTTTTCATCGAACTAACAGTGTTTTCCTCTCGTAACAAATCAGTATAAATCTAATTTCAGCGAAACGAACAGGGCCACGAGTAAAAATTGTACTCTTTCTGATATACTAGTATTAGTACTCTACTAGTAAAAATTGTACTATTTTTTATTAAAAAAAATTCCTTTGCCTGCACCTGCCGTTTCCTTTGCCCTGGTGGTACGTAGGTTGTGTCGATCTTTGCATGGACGGAATTACGAAATCTTCTGAGCATAGTAGCTGTATACGAGCCACGAGGACAGCGTGTGCATGTACACACGACTGCTTGTACCAGCATGGAGGCGTGAAAAGAAAACATATCCGTATCCCGTCACGTTACGTATACTCACGTACCGGAACTTGAGAAGGTTTCTGTCATCCTGTCTTGTCCTGTCACGTCGTGCGGTGGTGGGGTCCGGCCCGGCTTTCCGGGAGCGCGCACGTACGCGCGCCGCCATCGCCCATTAGCTCTTGCTCCTTGCTATTTTTGGATCGATGTGCAGTACAGGCTGCCATATGGCAATTGCTGTGCAGGCTGGCTAGTGGCTAACGGATCGGAGGAAGAAGATGATGTAGCGAGGGCGTGGGACGATCGTGGCCGTGCTCTCCACAGCCTCTCTCGAACGACGGAGACACACCCTCAACTCCAGTCTCCACTGCATTGCATGTACGTCAGTACCAAACGCGACGTTGAACAAAGTCATGGATCGAGGACCAAGCATGGCGCATGCATCGATCTCTGATGGGACGGGGATGGAAGAAGAAGATGATCGATCGATCGTACCGCTGCCGGCAGCCGCGCGCGCGCGGCGCGCGGGCACGTAGGTACGTGTCCGGCACATGGTTTCCTTCCATCGCAAGCGAGATTGCTTGCGCCGATTGATTGGCCGTCGGTCCCTTGCATGCCCCGTTGTTCCCGGAACCCGCGTCCTGACGTGAAGAACACATGACAGATCGACCTGTCCGATAGATCTCTCCGAGAGAATGAGGTAAGATCACCTGGACTAGCTAGCTCTTCGAACTGTTTGGTTGTCAGGTTTGTAACGCTAACGTAAACAAATTAAACCTGCGGACGTTATTGGAAGACGGATGATTTGAACTAATATCATTTACGTTTGCGTTATCGGTGAACGAACCAAACAAGGGCTACTAAAATTCAGGTAATGGAAGTTTAGGCGACTAAAAAAGTTTAGTTTCATCCAATTAATTGAGCTGGACTAAAGTTTAGTCCACCCATTTGAATGTTCTAAAACTCAATTATATTTTAAGTGGCTAATAAAGTTTAGTCTATGATCCACACAAGCTCTAATCCACCCTGTTCCTGCGGCCACATGGCATGTGCTGGGCTACTAGCTATCTAGTTACCGCCCTGCAACTTGCACTGCTGACGGCTCGACCGGTCGATCCATCCATTAAGGAGGCTGGCCGCTGGGGGGGGCACATTGTGATTCCGTACGCACTCCCTAGTTTAACCACACGCCTAATGCGATTTTGCTTTGGCCAGTGTACGACGCGCATCATCATCGTCAGCACATGGTTAGACGTGGCACGTGACGCGCATAAATCGCATGCGTCCATGCGCCGATCGACGACCCCTACGTCGCCAGCGGCTGGCGGCGACCCACTGCACTGCCAGGCCGAGAGCCGAGCGAGACTCAGGATAGGAGGGCGAGGCCGGCCCGCTCGTCTTTACAGCTCAAAGATTCACAGATGGCACATGCATGCCGACGCCGTCCCCCCCTGGCTGGGCTGGCTCACCGTCCGCCCGGCCGGGGGAATAAAATAATGCCGGCCGGCTGGCTGGCCGCCGATGGATCGATCGGCTTCAGATCCAACAGAAATCCGCTTTCTGATCGGTGCCGTGAATTGGCCTGGCTTGGCCCGCTCGACGTACCGCTGCCGGTGCCTTTGGCACGTGTTCGCGCTCTGCTAGCTAGCCGATAGGATGCGTCATGCTCAATGCCGCCTTTGTGTGGCTGCTCCTTCTGCAACCCCTCGTCCTTCTCGTCTCTGCTGGCTGCTGCATGTTTACCGGGCTTTAAATGGTGGCCATGCCACTGATAACTGATAAGCTGTTGCTGCCGTGCACTTGCCGTCAGTCAGCCTGGTTTAGTTCGCGAAATTTGGATTTTGAGGCTACTGTAGCACCTTCGTTTTTATTTGGCAAATAGTGTTCAAACATGGACTAATTAGGCTCAAAACGTTCGTCTCGCAATTTCCTACCAAATTATGCAATTAGTTTTTCTTTTCGTCTACATTTAATGCTCCATACACGTACCGCAAATATTCGATGTGACAAGTATTATAGCAACTTTTTAGAAGTTAAGGTGAAACTAAACAAGACATCAGTCAGGTTGGAGCTGGGAGCTGCATGCCGCCGCCCGTAACAAACAAAGCCCCCCACCCACTACTACTTTTATTACAGGTAGATAATGCCAAGACAGAACAGGTAACCGATGGACGCAGATTGTAGTAGGACGCTGTTGATGGTACTGGTAGCCACCCTGGCCAAGCAGCAAACACTGATGAAGGCAAAATCGGAACAGCGAGCAGGACATATGTGTAATGACCTCACCTCACGCCATGTGTACGTACGTGCTTCGATTGGCATCGCCATTCGCCACCAGCCCATTGCTGCTGTCTGACTGTAAAAGCACACATTTTTCTGCCATTGATCATGCACCCCTTTCCCGCGACGACCACGACGACAAATCGACAATGGCCCTGTTTTTTTTTTCTTATAATTCGTACTTTTCAGCTTTTTTTTAGCTGAAATAGTATTTTTCTTTCACAACAAATCAGTCGGAACAGTATTTCGACTTGTTTTTCCAGCGAAGCGAACGGAAAGGAGAGGAGTCGGTTTGTGCATATGCCACAGCCAGCATTCCAGCAAGCAAGTATTCACCGGACCTCATGGCAATAGCAGATTAACAGTGTACTTCCCCATGTAGAAAAACCCTGTTTTCAACAGTGGCTTCACCAAAAAATTTCCTCACTCACCGTAGAAGAGAATGTTAAGTAATCTGCTGCTCACCTCTGTACGTGCAGCAGAGGCAGACGTCGAAAGGGCTCCTCTCCTGCAACACTGTAGCCGCGGTAGGGGTAGGCGTCGAAAGGCTCTCCTGCCGCACTGTAGTCACAGCAGGGGCAGGCGTGAAAGTCAGGCCTGCTGTCACATCTAGAAAGCCTGATATGTCTGTATACTAGAATTAGATGGGTAGAGTTGTATATATAATTTTTCACTGCAACTCAGTAAAGCGAGCGAGTTTAGTTTTGCCATCTCCTCTGTAGAGCTCCGGCCAATGCTGGTGCTTGTGCTGTGTGTGTGCCCTGTTCTCCCTCCATTCTTCTACCTCTAGCCATAGTCTATGTTCGGCAACACCGGTGAGCGGTCGGCTCACCCGTGCCGAAGATTCAGGGGCCAACAAGTGGTATCAGAGCCGTACAAGCGTCGTCCCGGGACTAACCGCTGGCGATGACGAACGGTTCGGAGATGGAAGACAGCAGCGGCGCTGCTGTGGCTGCCCAGCCACGACAGGAGGTCGTTGTGTGCATGGTGCGGGAGGTCAGCGGCACCAGTTGGCTGACGCTGACTCGCACCAACTATGGCGAGTGGATGGTGACCATGAAGGTCAAGCTCAGAGCCCGACGGCTCTGGAATGCTATTGATAAGGGCACTGACAACGAAGAAGATGACATGTCAGCGTTGGAGGTTAGCCTCGCTGCTGAGCCAGTGGAGTACAGGGAGTCGTTGGGGGCGAAGAACTCAGCTAAGGAGGCGTGGGAGGCCAATGCAGCGATGCGCGTCGACTCCGACCGCGCAAAGAAGGCGACGGACCAGCTGCTAAAGCAGGAGCACGCCAACCTCAAGTTCAAGGATGGTGAATTGGTGGAGGACTATTCCCTCCGC